CATAGCAACCTCCAACTTCTGGGCTCAAGCGATTCTCCTGCCTCTGCCTCCCAAGTAGCTGGGACTACAGGCACCTGCCACAATGCCCAGCTATTTTTTGGTTGCAGCCGTCAATGTTGTTTGGCAGCCCGGGCTGGATTTGAACCTGCCAGCTCAGGTGTATGTGGCTGGCGCCTTAGCTGCTTGAGCCACAGGTGCTGAGTCAAAAGTTAATATTCTTCCTGAATCCACTGTTGGAGAATCCAGTATGATTTTTACTTTAGAAAAGGCACTGCCAGAGGCATAAAAGTGGTCTGGTTGTTTGAGCAATTAAAGGTTATAAGTTTGTTTGTTGCCCTTGGTAGAGTGCTGTGGTGTCACAGCAACCCCCAGCTCTTGGGCTTAGGAGATCCTCTTGCCTCAGCCACCCAAGTAGCTGGGACTACAGGTGCCTGCCACAACTCCTGGCTATTTTTTTGTTGCAGTTTAGCCAGGGCTAGGTTTGAACCTGCCAGCCTTGGTACACGGGCCGGCATCCTACTCACTGAGCCACAGGCGCCGCCCAAAGGTTATGAGTTTTAAGAGATTTATAATCCGCTCAGCGCCGGCCACATACACTGAGGTAGGTGGGCTCAACAATAATGACAACTACAACAAAACAATGGCCGGGCGTTGAGGCAGGTGCCCGTAGTCTCAGCTACTTGGTAAGCTGAGCTAAGAGAATCGCTTAAGCCCAAGAGTTTGAGGTTGCTGCGAGCTGTGATGTTACAGCACTCTACCGAGGGCGACAAAGTGAGATTTGATTGAGAGAGAGAGAAAGAGAGAGAGAGAGAGAGAGAGACTGACTTATCATCTATCATCTCATCATCTCTTCAGTGGTTCACCCTACCTTAATCCTTCTCCCCCAACCTTTAAGCTGCTCCCTAGTCAGGTTCAGAACAGTTAGAACCAGCAAGCCTGGCCCCTGGCCCTCTGGATGACTTTGATTTGGTTAACAGCAGTAACTGGGGCGTCTAGTCTACTGTAGACCGTTACTGAGTTAACTGGCCAATCAGGCTACCTGGGTCTGACTCAACAGTGCGGATTTAAGCTTGATATGGTTGGACAACTGGCCAAATTTTAGGAATTTTGGCCAAAGGAATGGCTGGGGGTCAGTGTGTTTGTGTACGTGTTAGATAGAGATTACAGGTGGGACCAAAGTCCTACCCCGCAAATAAACACTATATGCAACATACGTAAAAACGTTCTTATGCAGAGAAGCTTCAGGTGCATCCCAAGACACATCCTAGCCCTATGCCCACCTCCCTCCAATCACGCCGCTGCTCCATAGCCGTCCTACATAGAGTTTTTGGCGCTTACCATGCCAGAAACCCTGTCCGAAGCAAGGAGAAGGGAAGTGGCTTAAAGCCCAAGGTCCCAGCGGATGTTGGACTAATTCGTCTTAGGCCCACCAACCCCTAAATTCTCATCCTTTTCCCGGCCCAAGGAAGTCAGAAAAGCAAACATGGGCTTCCCCTTATCTTCATCAAAGACGTAGCAGTCAGTGGAAGCACGTCACTACTAACCTCGCTCCTATCGTCACTCCTACGGTGGCTAGCGTTTCCGTCTTTTCTCCCGCCAGACGCAGTTTTGGGTGGGACAAAGACACCTAAACGCCACAGTAAAGACGCCTCTTTCCCAGCAGTCCGCAGACGGCTTCTGTGTGTGTGGGCCGATCCTGCTGAGCGGTAGGCCTGGTTGCTAAGAAACGCAGGCAGAAAGGAAAGTTGGGAAAGGCAGGAACGCCACTCTATTGGTAGAGAATAGAAAAAGGGGGCTGGCCTCAAAGTATTTTTCTTTGCATTGGGTAGAATGGCCGTCAATCATTCAGGGCGTGAGTGGGCGTGGCTGCGAGAGCGGCCTTAGCAACCTCGGGCAAGTAGCGCAGACTGCGGTTGAACTGCGGTGGGTGAGTGAGTCAGGGACGTCCTGGCTGCTGAGACCGCTGGTTGGGGACATGGTGAGTGTAAGTTATCACCACCTGCTGAAGTTTTTCTCCAGAGCAAGGAGGAGATTTTGTTTAGTTTATGAAATATAAGTTTCCTTTTCGTGATCCTCAGGTGTCAATAGTAACCCTTCCTCATGTCGCCAGATACAAGCGCCTTGTCCCAGACTCTAGGGTCAGAAGAGCGGCTCTTCAATTCATGTTTCCCCGCACCAAGCGCTAAAACCAGTAGTCTCCATTAGGTTCAGCGCTGGGAACGGAATCCGCTCCTTGGCCAGACTGGAATTGAATGCAGAGAGTAAGATGCTTCCGAACTGTTAGAGGGCGGGGGGCGGGGGGAGTGGGCTGTAGGAGGGGCCTCCGGGAACCACAGCCAAATTCTGAAACGCTGCCAGGCCAGGGCTGCTAGTGACAGACCCCGTTTGGAAGGTGAGGATTCAGAAGGCTGCCCCTGGAACTATTGAGCTGAAGACCCTACCACTGTACGTCCAGTCGGGGACCAAGAATCCACAACCACCTTAACACCTGGAAAGCTGACCACTGGGATCCACGGGAACAAGGAAGGAATCCAGTTGCTGCTTCCCCGCCACTGCTTCTTAATCTGACACTGAAGACAAGAGACTGAAATAAGGTTGCAGTAGAACCCGAGGAGAAACTCAGATCCCTGGAGTAGTTTCTTCCTTCTCAGCCTTTGCAGTACAGGACAGTGCGGTAGAAGCAGATGGAAAATAATACCATGTTCTAATCAAGCATATCCCACAAAATAAACACATTTTAGTATAAGACATGTAGGGATTTATAAAAGTAAGTTTTCCTTAAACGACTGCTTTTTAAACATAACCAAGTAAGGCTACTTGTGTCCTGACATAACACCATTCACTGGGCTAGCATGCCTTTCTTTGCCTTTTTTCCCTCTCAGAAGGTAGTAATTTTAACAAAAAACTAAATGGTAAAAAACAGCGAGGCTTTCTCCCAAGACATTAGTAACCCAAAGCATAAATGTTAGCAAAGGGAAAAGGGGAAAATTGTTGAGGTTCATTATATAGTAGAGAATAGAATTTATTAGATTTACTTAGTGAATCAATTATTCTGATTCTGCTAAAGTTTCTAGTTATATAGTTTATCATTCACCTACACATGTATCTGTTACAGGCATCCAACTACTGCCCAAGTTCAGAGCAATGGAAGGAAAGTGCAGCAAAAATGGAATTGAATGAAACTCAAAAGCAAGAAATTAAAGAGGCCTTTGATTTATTTGATGTTGATGGGTCTGGAACCATAGATGTGAAAGAATTGAAGGTTCTGAAATTATATCGAATTCTAAGACATTTAAAAAACCATTTATTTGTGCAATCTTTAGACTTTTCTTTAATACAGTCTTCTGAAAGCTTCATATAAAATTTCTTCAGTGCATAAACCTGCCCTGCATTAACAAAACAATATCTTGTTAAACATTTTAATTGTGTTTTAAAAATGAGTAGAACTACAGCCAGGGTGTAACAATGATACTATGCATATGGGATTGAAACCTAGGCCTGCAGATCTGATTTTCCCTATTTATGCTAGTCTATGGTAAAAAAGAGAGGAAGCTATTTTTTAAAAGATAATTTTAAAGCGTGGAATGAGATCATAGCATATTATAATTTATTTCCTTCCTATTTCAGATTGCAATGCAGGCCTTAGGATTTGAGCCAAAGAAAGAAGAAATTAAAAAAATGATAGCAGAAATCGACAAAGATGGAATTGGCACCATTAGATTTGAAGATTTTTTTGCCCTTATGAGTGTAAAAATGGTATAGTTGTGATTTTAATTTTCAAAGAAATATAAGCAACATAGTTTTTTTTACCTCTTGGGGCTGGAGCAAGCAGAGGTTTCACAGAGGAAGAACTGTAACCAGGTTTAAAGGATGAATGGGAGATAGGAAAAGCAAGATTAAAGATGTTTTCAGGGTGTTAGTGAAAAGACTGTCCAATGTGGAAAAGAGATTTTTGTTAGGAAATGAGGATATATGGCAGATTAGAGAGAATGGGCTAGAATTTTGAAGCTTTGAAGTTAGCAAACATATACTGAGTACCTTTTTTCACAAGGTACTATTACTATTCTAAGGAGTATTGAATGAGACAAACTTTCTGTTTTCTTGGAGCTTGAAGTTTTGGTTATAAATGTGGATTGCTACAGTTAATAAGAAATGCATTCTCTTTACCACTTTGTGCCATTTTCATGTCAATAAACCCTGTGTTTAAATACCGTAAGATAGATGTTAGTACATTAGAATAATTGTTAAAAGTCAGAGCAATACATAAAGTCAGAATTTAGCTACCTGACATGTTGTTACTCTGACCCTCAAAGATCTAGTAAGTTCAGCTTGATAGAATGAATAAATGAAAGACTAATGATAGTTATTTACTTTTTTAAAGAGTGAAAAAGATGAAAAAGAAGAAATTTTAAAGGCTTTTAAATTATTTGATGATGATGATACTGGAAGTATAACACTAAACAATATCAAGAGGGTTGCTAAGGAACTGGGGGAAAATTTAACAGATGATGAACTTCAGGTGAGTTTTGCTTATTTTTAAAATTATATAAATTTATAATATTTATTCATTATGATATAAATATAATATAATATATTATAATTATGTATAATTATAAATTTTATAGATTCATATATTACTATAATATATTATACATTTGAAATTTTGTTATACACTTAAAATTTGGTTTTAAGTTTATATTTGAACATTTATATAACTATTCATTTTAAATATATTTGATATATTTATATTTTGTTTTACAGGAAATGCTTGATGAAGCTGATCGTGATGGGGATGGAGAAATAAATGAGGCAGAATTTTTGAGAATGATGAAAAAGACCACTCTTTATTAATGCTGTTGTTTTGTTCTTTCTGGAAATTTGTTAACAAATTTGTATTTGTTATACCATTTAATAATTTAATACTGAATGTATTCACTTTAATTTTACTTCGTATGCACAAATTGGTCTTAATGTGCCAATTGGTCTCTTAGTGTATGTGAGAAGTTATATGTTTCTACCAATAAGTGGTTAAATCTACAGCATCAAGAAAACATGATGACTAATTTGAGCTATGACTCCAAGAACAGTGTTAATTCTAACTGTTTTTAAAGCTTTCAATTTCAAAGACGGAATTATTTTACATTTGATGAAGTTGGCCCCACAGCCAAATGAATTTGGCAAACAGACCATTATTTCCCTACAATCTTTTTGTGCAGCTCTAAACAAATGGATGGACATTTGCATTTTAATCAGTTGTTCAAATGTGTAAAATTTGAATGCTTTTCAACTATGTAAATTATTAAATAAAATTGGCAACTACATTATTTGTGAATTTTCTTCTTATGGTTTTAAAGAAAGAAATTCAAAACAGTATTTGTATCATCCGTATTTTCCTGTAAGTTTGATCCTATAAATTATCATAAAATAAGTCTGCTAGGACAGGTAATATAGGGATTTTTTTTTGTATTGTCTCGGTTAACACAAGTTGGAAGCTGGCGGTTAGTTCCATCTTACATATAAAAAAAAGCAAAGTTCAGAAAAGTTAAAAAAAATGCCCAGTTGCTCATTGTTAATAAATAATACATGAATTTCATATCTTATATCCTTACTCTTTATTATGCCACTTCCCTATGGATAAAAACTTCTAGGATAAAATTAATTGTATATTTTCCAGTTTTCAGTTCTATGACTCTCTTGTAATTTATTGTTTTTTTTTTTTTTTTAGACAGAGCCTCAGGCTGTCCCCCTGGGTAGAGTGCCATGGCATCACAGCTCACAGCAACCTCCATCTCCTGGGCTCAAGCAAGTCTCCTGTCTCAGCCTCCCAAGCAGCTGGGACCACAGGCGCCTGCCACAATGCCTGGCTATTTTTTGGTTGCAGCAGTCTCACAGGCTGGACTCGAACCCGCCACCTTGGGTGTATGTGGCTGGCGCCTTAGCCACTTGAGCCACAGGCTCCGAGCCTTGTAATTTATTGTTAATGAAAGAGAACCCAAACACAGGAAAATAATTTAAAAAGGTAAGTTGAGCTGAAAATGTGTGACCATGGCCCAGAGAGCCATGCCCAAGAAGCCTGTGGTCCTGCCATGGTTGGGTTACAATTTGGTCATACATTTAGGGAGACAGGAATTATACATAAAGTCATAAATCAATACGTGGAAAGTATACATTGGTTTGTCTTAAAATGGCAGGACATCTTGAAACAGGATTGCAGCTTGTAGGTAGGTTTAAAGATTCTTGACTTGGGGTAGTGCCTGTGGCTCAGTGAGTAGGGCACTGGCCCCATATACCGAGGGTGGCAGGTTCAACCCACCCCAGCCAAACTGCAACAAAAAAATAGCTGCTGACAGTATCAATGTACACAGCTATGATCTAATAAAAAATAAAAGATTCTTTCATTTGCAGGTGGGTAAAGAAATGAAGCTTTATCTAGGCTTTGATACATTTTAAGTTAAGATAAAGAAGTCTGTTAATCAGAGACAAGCCACCAGACAAACTCTTAAGTAAATTGATGACTGCAGGTGTGATTTGTCTTACCTGGCTTATGGCTTGTTAATGATTTGGGTTTTATCATTACAAAGAATAACTTCAAAAGGGACAAGGCATAATTAGGCATGTCTGGCCTCTTTTCTCCTCATGACTGGCAAGTCAACTTTAAGGTTTCTTTCTGGGGGGTCTCCTTGGTCAAAAAGAAGGTCCATTCAGGCCCTCAGTCCCTTAAGATTTTATTTTAATTCAAGTTTTTTTTTTTTTTTTTCTGAAGTGGGTGCATTTCATCCAGTGCTGCAGTGTGTTTTCCTTGGTGACTCCATTCAAGATGCAGTGAACAGATTTGCTCACTTCTAACAGTAGGCACCAGGTTCCACTTGATGGACACACATTCTGATAAACAGGTAATAGTCTTGGGAGCAAGAAAAGTTTGTAGAAAATGTATCTATAGTTTCCCCTGCCCTCATTCATCTTTATTGAAAATGAAATGAAGACTGCAGGTTTTTGTCTTATTTTGTTGACACAAGAGGCTTTATTTGACTGAAGCTAGAATGGCAGATGCTTATGAATATTCTTTTGTTGTTGTTTTTGGTTTTTGGTTTTTTTTTGGAGACAGAGTCTGACTTTGGTAGCATGCCATGGTTTTGCTCAAGCAATCCTCTTGAGAGGATTAATCCTCCTGAATAGCTGGGACTCTAGGTGCCCACCACAATGCCCGTCTGTTTTTAGAGACTGAGTCTTGCTCTGGCTTAGGCTGTTCTCGAACTCCTGAGCTCAAGCAATCCACCTGCCTCGGCCTCCCAGAGTGCTAAGATTGTAGGTGTGAGCTACCATGCTTGGCCTTCTTATGAATATTCTTAAGTGTTTTCACAGTGTTGTTAATTCCTAGTTATGTAGTATTTCTTCTAGACCAAAGAAAAATGTACCTGGTAAACATGCTTCATATGTGAAAATTTTAGCTTTTAAATTGCTAAAAATACACATGAACAATAAATAAAAATTCTAAATAAAAGTCTCCTTTACAGCTTGGCGCCTGTGGCTCAAGTGGCTAAGGCACCAGCTACATACACCTAAGCTGGTGGGTTTGAATCAGACACTGCAACCCAAAAATAGCTGGGTGTTGTGGTGGGCACCTCTGGTCCCAGCTACTTGGGAGGCGGAGGCAGGAGAATCGCTTGAGCCCAGGAGTTGTGATGTCACGCACTCTACCCAGGGTGACAGCTTAAGGCTCTGTCTCAAAAAAAAAAAAAGAAAAAAGTCTCTTTTCCATCCAAGCCCCAGTTCTTATAGACAATTTGCTTTCATTCAAGAAGGAATTCAAATTTATTTTAGTTTTCTACATGTTCCCTCTTTTCTTCAGAGGTAGTTTAAATTCAATAGTATGTGAGCAATTTAAGAAGCTGTCATAAAAGTGGTTGAAATTAGAATAATGCTTAACTATGGGCAAGAAAGGGAAAATCAATCACTTAACATTTTTGGATTGTCCACTATATACCAGGTGCTGTGAATTAGATATGGATCTTACTGTCTCTAAGCTGCTGGTAATAAGAACTAAGTCAAAGATTTAATCCATATGGTAGGGAGCTTCCAACATGGCTTTCCATGAGCCCAGTTTCCTGATACCCATGCCTTTGTGTAATCTCCTTGTTGAATATGAACTGGAATTATTAATAGTGACTTACTAGTATGGCTAGGCGCCTGTGGCTCAAGCAGCTAAGGCACCAGCTGCATACACCTTAGCTGGCAGTTTGAATCCAGCCCAGGGCTGCCAAACAACGACGGCTGCAACCAAAAAATAGCTGGGCGTTGTGGCAGGCACCGGTAGTCCCAGCTACTTGGGAGGCTGAGGCAAGAGAATCACTTAAGCTCAGGAGTTGGAGGTTGCTGTGAGCTGTGATGACATGGCATTCTACCCAGGGTGACAGCTTGAGGCTCTCTCTCAAAAAAAAAAAAAAAAAAAATTAGTAACTTGCTACTAATGAATAGAATTGGCAAAAGTGATGAGATGTCTCTTCTAAGACCAGGATACAAAAGCCTGTGACTTCTATGTTTCTGGCACTCTTTCTGTTTGCTTGCTTGCTGTTATGAAGCAAGCTGCCATGGTTTCAACTGCCTTATGTAGAGAACCATGTAGCAAATAGCCAGTGAGGTGTTGAGGCTTTCAGTCCTATAGTCCATGAGGAACCAAGTCCTAAGAACAACCATGTGAGTGAGCTTGGAAATGGATCCTTTTCCAGTTGATTCTTGAGATGGACTGCCAGTCCAGCTAACATCTCAGTTACAATCCTATAGCAGGGAAAGCAGCTAAGCCAAGGCTGGATTCATGGTCTACAGGAAGTATAAGATAAATAAATGTTATTTAAAGCTATTATGTTTTGGGGTAATTACTTACTTAGCAATAGACAAGTAATATGGTACTCCATCTAGAAACTTGTGTGTTAATTTCTTCCATATTTTATTGCTAGATATATAAGGAATCAAGAAAGTGTTCCAACTATCAAATACCTAGCAGAGAGGAGATTAATTAGAGTTATCATGTGAGGGTATAGTTAAACAGACATACCATTTATTAGGGTCCCCCTCTTTGATGACTATTTAGTTTTTAGCCACTCTCTGTTTCTTTCTGTAGTTTGGATATCATGAGGACTTTAGTCCACCAATAAGAGGATTATTAAGAACTTTAAAAAAGAAATTCCATTTTGTAATTCCTGCAACCCTGAGGCTGTCACTCACATGGTCTCTTCCTGTGAGCCATTGCTTGGTAGAGATGTTCTGGAGTTTTGATTGACATTTTAGTTGCTATCAAACATGTTGACAATTAAATTAACTACTTTCTGGGCTTCAGGTAGCATAAGAAGTGAGGGTAAATGCAAGGCAAATGCTGACAGACCTGTCAACTATAAAAGCAAGACTGATAAACACATCAGAGAGCTTAAAACACCCAATTTCAGTTCTTGTCTTTATTCCAGAATGTATGAAAATATGTATTGGGTTGATCACAATCAGGTCTGAGAATAAGCAAAATCTAAACAATAGTTTAATTGTTAAAGAAATTGAATCTAAAAGTAAAAACTTTTCCACAAAGAAAACCCTAAATCCATCTAGTTTCATGGATAATTTCTATCATTTAAGGAAAAAGATCTTTAATTCAGAGGACAGAGAAAAAGGTAACTCCTCCAGACTTGGTTTTTGAGGCCAGCAAAAGCTTGCTACCTGGCTGATAATTCACCTTAATGAATTATAACCTATAGGGATAACTCATTAAAAAGATTTTTTTTAATATGAAATAGAGTCTCTATTGCCCAGGCCAGAGTGCAGTAGCACCAGCTGAGTTCACAGTAACATCAAATTCCTGGGTTCAA